GGCAAGGATGTCGCCCTCTGCCCGAACCTGGAGCAGAAGAATCCGCTCACAGGTGACTTCTCCTGCCCCTCTGGCTACACCGCAGTCCGTCTGCTGTCTCAGATCCACGAGGAGGGTTACAACCACCTGGAGTGTAAGAAAAAGTGCACCCTCTACATCTTCTGCAAGACAGTATGTGAAGACGTGTTCCGGGTAGCGAGGGCTCAATTCAGGGCGTTTTGGTGCGCAGCCAGTAGCCAGGACCTGGGAAACCTGGGACTTCTCTTCGGAGGTCTCTTCAGCAGCAGGAGTGTGAATCCCCTGACCAACCAGCAGTCCTGCCCTGCCGGCTACACTATACTGAACCTCTTTGAAACCCTCAAGGTATGTGTTACTCAGGACTATGAGCTGGGACACCGGTTTTCCATTCCCTTTGGCGGCTTCTTCAGCTGTGCAGTTGGGAACCCCTTGATCAATTCTACCTTGTCTAGAGACCTTCAGAAACGGTGTCCTGGGGGGTTCAGCCAGCACCTCGCCCTCATCAGCGATGGGTGCCAGGTGTCCTACTGTGTCAGGGCTGGGGCATTTACCGGGTGGTCCCTGCCCACTGCCAGACTCCCACCTTTCACCCGGCCACCCCTCATGAGCCAGGCTGCCACCAACACCGTCATAGTGACCAACAGTGAGAGCTCGAGCTCTTGGTTTAGAGATTCCCAGACTCACCGCTGGAGGCTAGGAGAGCCGCAGGAGCTACGCAGAACCATGAGGAACATCCAAGGGGAAAACGGAGGCCTGTCTGGAGGGGCAGCAGTGGGGGTCTCAGTGGCGGTCACCTCCCTCCTGGCTGCTCTCATTGCTTTGGCTTTCTATGGTATCCGGAAGTACAGGAGCAAAGGACACCATGCAATCAATCGGGAGCAGGAGAGGTTGCTACCAGAGACTGCCCCAGGGACCATCCCTGAACTGGAGCCCGAGCACCAGGCAGCTTAGGTCTCTAAATCCAGGCACTGTCTCTCCTGCATGCAGAAGTTCTGTTGTTTCTGATCACAGCTTCGAGCACACCGCTCATCCTTTCCCTCTCCACGTCTGTCTTCCCACATAACAAAGTGCCACACATAACAAAATCAGGTACAACTCTGTGACTTCTTG